ATATAGTCTATGCTTTCTATGTGTTCATACTCCAGTTTTGATATAGTTCTGCTGGAAAAATAATACGAGCTACATACATAGACAGACATGTACATTTCAACAAATAGGCAGATGTTTTTCTCATTAATTTTTGATGTCATTATTAACTGTCGCCTCTATCAATTTGTTATCTTTCACAGATGTTTCTTGGTTAATACAGTAGTTGAACAAGTTAAATTAAGACTGCAACGTCATGAATTCTGAGCACTTGAGGAGAGAGGCCAGAATTAAGATTTCTACCACGAAATGGACAGACAGAGACTGTGGTTTTAGATCCATAGGCTGCCAGGGAATGTGTGAGGAAGGAAGAAGAGTAAAGAGGACAGGGATGAGAGAGTTGTCAGGGGGTGGGGAAGGACAGAGGCAGAGAAGAAAAAAGTGAGTGTGAAAAAGGAAAAGACAGAAGGAGATGCAGTACTCTGTAATTAAGAACTCCCTTGCTTTCTACAGAGTCTATTACCCAGTTAGTCATACTGGTTCCTTCAGGGCTGAATGATCAATTGTTTTTATATTGACATCCTGACGTTTTAAAAAAGTGGTTTTGATTTTGATTACAGCTTACATTATTAACAAAGTTTTAAGAGGTGAAATGTTCTGTGGTGACTGCTGATTTAGGCTGGAACTTAAAGAGCTATCACGAATTAGCTACAAAGAAAACTGTATGCTGTCTAGTTAGTGTGCCTCCCGATACTCTTTGTTACTATCTACTGTATTTATCAGCCAAATTAGGTTTTTGTCGAGTATAATTTTGATGATGTATACATGGAGTAGACTGTCTTTGTGCCGTTCAAACCGACCAACTGAGGGACAAGTCTCTACATTAACAAACTAGCACCATTTTCATACAGTTACTGCAGGTAACAGCTAGGTAGGTAATTATCAAGAGCAAATTACAAGAAAAGGAAGATTGTCGACAGCTATCTGAATCTCTATGATGAACCTTTCAGGATGTAATCATTGTTTTCAGTCTGTGAGTCTCTTAAGATAGAATTGGCTTAAGAAACTATAGAGTTCCGCTGTTCATTTCAAGTATGTCAGGTGTCATTACGCCAAAGTTAACAATGAGCTTGAAGATTAATTCTTACAACCCTTAAAAAAATAGTAGTTTGACAAAAATTCTTAACTCAAGGTTCACTGACTAGATTTCTTCCAGAGCTCTCAGGCACATCTAATGGCCTTTATCAGCGGATGGAGTTGGCTCAGTTGTCATCCTGAGTACTAAGCACTGGACAATTGGGCAATCTCTATGACGAAAGCCACGAGATGTGTCATTAACAATTTGAAACAAAAAGTACTATCATACTACTTCTGAATATACTAAATCCTCATTCTATAGAGAAACTACTGTAAGCTTACTTTGAAATTTACTTTTCTCTGACTGGCGGGTTGAAAAGGAGAAGGGGGGAATGGTTTCAAGCTCACAAGTCAGTCAGCAACTGCATCATTTTATCGGATTCTTTTCATTAAAAAAAACAGGAGAGGTTTGTAATTTGGCTCGGGGTAGATGCTTGATGGTTTGTATTCCACCAAAAAAAAAGAAGCTCTGAAAACCAACTGTACTGTACCTGCCGAGCAGCAGAAAGACAAAGACAGAAATTAGTTGGTAAACATAGAGGAGTATGTGACCCCATACTAAAACGTCAGCTACTGCAGGTGGAAAATTAGATAGATTCCTCCCCTTTGTTCATCCTTTAGTTCTTTACACTAACATATTTCAATCTTAGTCTTGTGCGTTTTCTTCCTTATGTGCACCGGCATACTGGTTGGCTAGACAGGTGAACATTGACTGAAACCAAAAACCGGCTCCTTTCAAAAGATGGAATATTTTCGAGACCGTTTATGTGTGTGAGAGAGAGTTAGAGACACCAAGAGTGAGAGAATGACCAACATTTATTTTTAGCCTTCAAGTGAGTCATGTGATCCCCCTTCTTCCCACTGATCCCTCCATCCTTTCCTTCTCTCGTATTTCTCTTTGTGTCTCCCCCTACCTTTCTCTCTCGCACAATCACATCCCCTCTTTCTCTTCCTTCCCTTCACTTCAGAGTGAGGAAAAACAGAGAGGGAAAGCAAGAGGGAAGACAAATCTTTATCTTGCCTAATAAGGGAAAACAACATGAGGAGCGATTTGCAAAAAGAAAACCCACACATAAAAACAAATATATACACCTTAGTAACAGCTATCATCTCTGTTACCATGACACCTCCATATAACAGAAATAACAACGGCAAACGCCTATTACCACAGAAACTATCCACTGTGAAGTAGGGTCAGTTATAGAACGGTGGATCAAGCCAGGAACAACAATAATGCAGTCTCTGCAAAACTGATGGGACTTTACTTACATGATACACTTTCAATGAATTAAGAACAAGAATTCAAAAAAGAAAAAAAGGGGAGAAAAAGGATGAAAAGCATCATCAGCACTACATCAAAAGCCATATTAAATCACTCTTCCCTCCTTGTACATGTAGTCTTATTCCTTTACCCTATCTCCATATCACTGTGCTACTCTCACAATGCACTGCAATCTTTACACAGTGAGACAAGCTGGCCTTTTTTTAAATTCAAAACATCTTTATTGTAATGGATTCAAACAATGCAAACCTACTCAACTGTTAAGACCATCTGAAAGGGTCACATAGTCAGGCAGTGAGGCTAATGCTCAGAAACAGCAACAAGGACAAGGACGTCCACAAACACACACAAACAGATGAGTGATTTTAGATACACACACAAGCACGTGCACATGTATACACGCACACACACACACACACACACACACACACACACACACAGCACATCACAAGCAAATACAAAGTGACAAAAGATAGCAGACAGAGTCATGACAGGACACTGACGCATACATGAAGGGAGAGAACAAATATTCAACTGCTGTGAGGGATACAGCGCGCACAAACACACGTACTCTTCGACTTCTGTTTCTTTCTCTGATTATCTGTGTCTCTCCCTCTGCTTCCTATCCTTTTCTTCCTCTCTCTCTCTCCAGTTTCCTCTCATTCACTGACTCATCTACTGCTCTTAATGAAATGCTGCATAATCAGGATAGCAGATTGCAGGACTGACTGGTCCTATAGGCCCAACACTCATATGTGCATGCATAACCAGAAACACCAAACACACACACACACACACACACACACAGTGCCTTGATCTGCCTGCTTTCCAGCCACCAATCCTACGCTAAACCCTTTTAAATTATATATACTCACACAAGCACACACTTGCATAGACAAACACACTCTCACACAGTGGTGGAGTTGGGTTGGGGGGAGGTCATGATCCTGCCAGAGAGAAGAGAATCAGAGTTAGGGCTAGGGCTTATCGCGGAAAGAGGGTAAGACCATATCTGACACGCCAGCATGCCCGGTACGTAAACCTCTGTACACACACAAACACACGAAAAAGGTAAAGAGAGAGGGTGTGTGTGTGTGTGTGTGTGTGTGTGTGTGTGTGTGTGTGTGTGTGTGTGTGTGTGTGTGTGTGTGTGTGTGTGCGCGTGTGTGTGTGCATACCCGCACATCCTCATGCATATGTGGGGAGATAACCCTTTGCAGTATTTTTGGAAAATCTATCCGTCTGCCAAGGTGTCTGTTACTAACACTGCGCTCAGCAAGCGGGAAGGGTCAGCATGGGTGGAAGCGAGACAGAAAGAGGGGAAGAGCGAAGGATTTGTGAGGGAAGAGAGAGGAAAGCAGAAAGAAAATAGATGCAGCATGAAGGGAGCAAAGAAAAGGAGCGATGGAGGAATGAAGGCAGGGAGAGACGGTGAGGAGAAAATGTACACGAAGGAAGGGAAGGCAGAAGTACCTGATGAGCAATCTGACAGTGTATGGTAAATCAAAAAAAAGGGAGAACTGATATAAGACAGGGAGAAAAAAAAGCAAAAATAGGGAAGCAGAGTAAATGCAAAAGAACAGGGAACATGGAGAGGGAGGATGCTGAGGAGGAGGGAGACTAGGAGCTGCTGTAAAGGAATGAAAGGTAAAACACTGCAAAGAGGGGGAGGGAGGTACTTGTTAATACACACTACAGCCCCGAAAACATTTGCATCCTCACAATGAAACTATAGGCAGTGGCAGAACAAGCGCAACAATAACAGGCAAGGTAATTGCAAGTAAATTATTACAAATTATATTTAAGTGAGATGGCTCAGCTCACATGATCGTGGTCATTGGTTATCACAGGCGAGCAAGCTGTGACAAAACACGCCATTGGCTAAAGAAATGTAGGAACAGCAAAGGAGCAACGCACCATTGGTTAAAAATCACAAATACGCTGTTGGCCGTTCCTGGGTCATGTGTGTGCTTGTGCATGCACAATGTCTCTGTAAGTGTGTGTGTGATTATGTGTGTGTATCCCAAGCCTAAGGCAACCAGGCCAGCAGCTACAATTACAGTGACGGATGTGAAAGAACTGGGTCGGCTTCGCAAGAGATCTGCCCCTGGGACGACAAGTGCCAGAGCCCTGAATCAATACGGAACACATGCACACGTGCGCTTAAGCGCACATAGAAACACACACAAGGTTGTATGGGACAAACATTTACATAGAAACCAAAGGACAGATATGAATAACACAAAAAGGAAGGAGAACACGTACAGCACCACACAGCACAAAAAGTGCAAGAGGGCAAACGTGGCTACAGCATTTACTTGACATGTACGCTGTGTTCTTCTGCACACATACAGAAAACTTCACAAATATCCAGATGAGCCTCTGCCCCCTTGTGCCTGTCTGTCTCTCACTCAATGACTTTCACTCTCGCTCACACAAACACACACACGTATATAAATGTGTTCCCTCTCAGAGCCCCAAAGCCTGTTTCAGGGGCAGCAATGTTCACAGCTCATCCACACATAGCTCAGTGACACTCGAGACATGTTTTTGTGCTCATATGTGGCGTGTGTGTTCCTTTATGTGCATGTTGTGTGTTTCCTACCTCTGGCAGAAAGCTTCTTGGTGTTGATGATTTTGGCAGCATATTCCTGTCCGGAGGAGATCTTCACGCACCTCCTGACCACAGAGAATGCGCCCCTGAAATTAACATACACACAGAAATCTGAGAGGTATTTTAAAAACAAAGGCTTAGAAAAGCAGGGGGTGGAATAAAAAACTTGCTTGAGGGAGCCTAAGAAAGTGGTAGGAAAGGTCTGAGCTCTTTTTTTTAAACTAGCCAACAATAGCAGCGTGTTTTGCTGTGGAAAAACAGTTTAAAGTGAAGCTAAGCCTCAAAACTAGCTTGACCGGAATCAAGCTAGTCTGGAGGGATCAGTTTCCATGGTAACTTGGATCAAACTTATTGCAACCTGCTTATGAAACAAGAAATCCAGAAAATAAGCCAGATTTACCAAAGTATTGGCTGAGCTAAAAAATTATGTTTTATAGACACATTTCAACCAACTGCACAAAAGCATGGATGCAGTATCTTTGCAGCTACTCACACAGACACACTCACACCCAGTACCAACAGCACTGTCCTCATCACAAGACCATTAACACCAACAAACATGCCTACCCATCCACTGTTTAAGCCATGTGTTTCTTTTATGGTGTTTCAGGCACATGTATGAAGATCAAAAAACTAGGTCAGCTATATTTGAGGGAGGAGAAGCGCAGAGTGCTGCATCTCTCATCTCTAAATGCAGCCATAGAGCGGTCCACCTCGACTCTGCAGCCACATAGGCCGCTTTGCTATTCAACCTCCAGCTCTGTCTGTGTATGCCTTTTCTTTCAAATAAAAATCTGTTCTCATCCTGTGTAGCTCAGGACAACATCAGATATCAGAAAACAGTTAAAAGCATTTGGATACAGACACTAAAGAGACAAAGCAGAGAATCCTCATTACCTCAAGTGAACCATGTTCTTTCACTTCTAATGGCTGACAACTGTGGTGTAATGTTACTGTACAATGTTATTTGGTTAAAACAATGCTAAAATATGAGAAATAACTGAAGCTTTGTACCTATGTAATCTATAGCTACTGGTGACGTGTAGCATTAACATGTTATCTAACATCCTTTGGAGCGAGCAGCTTGCCACTGAAGCTTACCTCTACTTTATTTTATAGAGGATTTGGTTAAGGAAATGATCATCGCATAACATGTTACATAAGAATTTTACTTGACTATCCGGTGTAGTTGGGCACCGTGACGTGCTTATGCTGTGTCTGTTTTGTACAGTAGGCTACTACATGACAGGATGTGTAGTAGCTGCACAGTAAAATGAGATGCACTTTGCGTTTGAAAGAAAAGTAAAGGCAAGCCAGTTGAATCTTAGTTGGGTGATTTTTTTTTTTAATGCATCAGTATAAATTCATCTTATTCACTTTACTAACCTTTCCAACATCTTCCAGCACTGTGATAATATCTCCTGAAATAATTCAAACATTGTGGTACTTTCATTTTATCAGAACCAGCTGGTATACTGTACTGTATGTAGGTGTGGGGGAATGGTGCTGCACACTGTAAAGGGATCAGGTGAGTTAAAAGCTACTATAAAAGCAATGTGGCTGCATTATTAATGACAGATGGTGTAAGATGAACACAGTGTAGGATCATAAATGCAGGTGTGGGGGGCTGAGGCTGTAGTTCCTCTTCCTCACTAAAAACACTGGCTTTCATTAAACCGGGTGACATAGTGATCAATTGTTTCAGTCAGGACGCTAAGTTGGAGACACTGGGTAACTGGGAGCACGTTTCCATCTCTCTCTCTTTCTGCTTTGGCTGAAAGTCAACACCAGAGTGCAGACATCTGGGGGCTGTAAACACCGACCACGGGGTGCTGGGTGGGCAGACTGCAGGTCAGGCAGCGCATGACCACACAGGTACAAATATGCGCGATAAGAAATAATAATGAACGAGCGCACACACGCAGCTTCCTGGATCTTTCTGTGTCTCTCTCAGGGTGAGGAATTCCCTGCCTGTGTCTGATAATTGACCGCAGCTCGGTGCTTGGCTGGGTCATGTGTTATCGCCAACTACATAGTTTGCTGTCGCATTACCGAGTGTGTATTTCTGTCACGCGGGAGTAGGAGGAGGATTTCAGGAGGGGTGAGAGATGTAGAGACAGAGGGGGTAGGTTACCAAATCTCAGCATTTCACACAACCCTATGCATTTCACGCCGGTCCGCTTAACAACAAGGGGGCTCCTCACCCTCCAGTGGCACCAAAAGGTAGAATTGCAACATCAGTGGCTGCACGTGATGGAAATGACGACACGCTCGTTTCGACATCCACTTTCATCCACGCAAAACGCAAGCCGGGCTTCTGATGTGGGTATCAAACAAACAGGATGCCATTGCACAGGCCTGCATAGGCTATAGCGTATTTTCTCACCCTGCATCACAGGTTTCATTGCTACACTATCAATAGCGCGCACACTCACACATACAATAACGCACTGACACAGAGCGCGGAATCCGCGTCCCAAACCCGAGGCGGCCTATTACATAACAGGCTGACATTTCAAACAGAAATGATGCCAGATAATACAAAAAAAAAGCTTCCTTACTTCCCCAGCTCCTCGAACAGCTGATATTCGTCGGTAAATCTCGTGCAGATAGTTAACGCCATCCTGAAGGAGGTGCCAAAGGGTGTGCGGAGACGCGGACAAGGTACACTCACAAACAGTATCCACCACACACAGTCGTCAACGCCGCCCGGTTTTGTCCTGGACCTGCAAACCAAACGGAGGGATTCATGCACAGCTGAAGCGCATCGGCGAGAGCTCTGGTGGAATGATATAATGTAAATACACTGCCTGTGAGTGCTTCAGTCTGGGCAAGAGAGCTTCCGGCGTTATAGCTTGCTGTGTCTTTATTTTCTTCACATGCAGCGACTTTTCACAGCTCGTAGACGCAACATTGTGTGTGCATTGTCTCTGGTGGGTGTCAGTCCAGCGCTGTGAGGAGAGTAGTGTCTCTGCGCGCATCAGACGCCGCACCACCGCACCTACCCCCTGCTGTGCGCTGAGTCCCGCCCCTTTTCCTGCATCCTCACATAGGACAATTACAAATAATAATAAGAATAACAATAGTAGCTACTATAAGCTTAATATTAATGTACCTTGCTGCCATTCTAGAAAAAAACGACCAAACATTTTATTTATGACATTTACAAGGGGCTAAAAAAAAGTTGATTATTATAGTGTTTAAATTAAAGCTGAAGCAGAAGTAACAAACTGTATTAATGATTAGTTAATTAGCCTACATGTTTTCTCTTGTAGTTATGGAATTTGTTGTGAAGGATCAGTAACAGCACATTTGTGATAATATTATCATGTAAAAGTAAAGTCGGTACTTAGTTATCATATGCAAGCCTGCTGGGGTAGGCAATTTATTGTAGAAGCATTTTGTTATGGTGTGGGGACAGAGTTGATCCAAACGCAATACTCAGGATGAACAGGTTTTATTGAAGGGAAAAATGGGGTTGAGGGAGTGGAGGTGAGGGAGAGGCGGACGCCGGGGAAACACGGGCACGGGGAACCGAGGAGACTGAGACAAGGGAGCCGGGGGCACTGGGGACCGAGGAAGTAAGGAGGCACGGGGAGGAGCCGGGAGGACGCCGTGGAGGAGGTCCGAGGGGAGAGGGCAGAGTGGCGAGCCCAGCTGACGGAACGGAGTACGGAGGTGAGTGAACCTGGAGGGGATACAGACAGGGTTAGAAGCAGGGAAAACAAAGTACAAGGAAACAGTGACGACGCAGAATACTCAAGAGCTTGAGTGGTGGGCACCGGGTAAGGAGCAACAACAATCAAGCAGAGGTTGACTGGAGAACCGGGGTAGAAGTACTGTCAGAGATGAGGCTGATTGCTGGTAGGTGTGGCAGGCAGAGGAGGTGGCAGAGGAGGTGGCTGACGAGGTGCAGGTGCAGGTCGTTGGCTGGGCTCAGGAGCGGGGGGAGAGAGAGAGGGAGAGCACACGCAGGGGAGGAGACACAGGGAGGCAGGCAGAGTACAGGAAAACAAAACACCAGGGGAAAACAGAATCACAAAGAAAGGAGAAATAAACAGGACACTCACCGTCAGCCGGGCTGTCACCACAACACATTTTTTGTTATAGCCTATTGTTGAAACTATCTTTACATCCTGACAGCAATCAATAAATCAAAAGCTTTGACACAAAAAATAGGGGGAACAGCAGTATATGTGGCTGTTGTCAGACTGTAATAAGCCCTGCCAATCATTTCATTTAGATGAAGGAAATACACAAAACTTTATTATTACTTTGATCTTGCCTTACTAGTAGTCATAAACATCATTATAACCTCCCATTCCTTTAAAGACCCACCTTACCGGTCTAATCCCTTCTGTGGCTCTGGAGGGACTTTTGTAACCCTGACAAAGTCATCCGGGTTATTCCAGCCCTGGGACTGCACACTTTAAACAGATGGCTGGCTCCATTACAAACTAGGGTTGTGGAGTAGAGCTTAGACTAAATATTATTTTCATTATCAATTAGTCTGAAGATTCTTTTTAAATGTTTACAAAATGATCATGACAACTTCTCTAGCCCAAGTTTCCAAATATACATTCCTTATTTTTATAGCCAAAACCCAAACATCTTCAGATTACTATCAAAAACAAACACAAAAAAACAGGAAATATTCATATTGGAGAAGCTGGAACCAGTTAAAAAACGAATGACTTGTGAGTTTTAAACACATGCACATTAACCAGGCAGGTTGTGTCTAATGAAAGACGATACAAAGTTGCATTATGGAAATGAAAGGATCCAACATTTTTGCCGCCTTACCCATGCTGCTAAAATTCAGAAAATTTCTGCTATGTTTTAGACCATTGTTTTTAGTCTGTCTCTTGTGAGCCCTCCAAATTAATATAATACAATAAGTTGAGTGAAACATTAAATTGTTGGAGTACCCTTTCAGCTCTTTTTTAATTTTAATTTGTAAAATGATAATTTTCTTTGCTGTTGCAGCATCATCCTAGAGATAATAATATCTGCAGGGGTTGGAAGGTTGATGCAAATGCAATAGCAAGTGCACGTGTCTAAATTTAAGTTTTAAAACGGTTTAAAACTGTTACAAAAACCATGGGTTTACTGGTGCAACTAAAAGTACAACCAACCTCTGCACAATCTCATCCAAATTTTTTATATACCCATATGAGTAAAAATATGATGTCATCACATGAGCAGCATCATGTGGTGTGGCTCTACGCTGGTGACTACATCTTTGACAACGGCAAAGAAGAAGACTTTAGTTACTAGAAGATGAAATTATTGATTGATGACTATAAACATACTTACAAGGGACATATCAAACTGAAAATATTTAAGAAAAGAAAAAACAAAGAAATATCAATTTCAATTTCATTTAAACTTTTTTTTATTAAACAATAGGTATTCAGCAGAGCTGAATAATTTAACCAAGATGCACTTACATTCCATAAATACATCAATAAATATGAAAATAACGCAAAGTTATAGAAGATAACAGTTATGCAAACACTAGTGACATATAAATAAGAACATACTTGTTAAATAAATTACATGTTTGATACAAACATAAACTTAGTGGGTAAAAGTTGTTGTCATTTTCAACAGCTGATCAGGACAGTGGGATGGCTTCATTTATCTTGTCAAAAAATATACTTTTTGGGACATTTCATTTGTCTTTGCAGTAAGTCGATCACACTCAATAAACACATCTCTCCCAGTCTGTTCAACGTCTTTTGCTGCAGAGAAAAGAAACAGAAAATAATTAATTTGTGTTTTATAAAAGTGAACTAATAATCATAAAAGTAGATTTTAGTACCTATGTGCCATTATAAGGTATGACAGAGAGAGGGAGAGCACATTATAAGGTATGATTTGCCTGTACTTACTTGGACAGGATCTTCTGAATCACTTTCTTCACCCAGGGAGCCTCTGGGTCCAGGCAAACCTCTTGGCCTGTCTTCTTCAGAGTGGCACTGCATCACCAAGCAAGAAACAGAGAGGCAGTCAGAATATGTTGATGAAGCCAACAAGTGACAATAACAAAATAAAAAGTATCAACATTATCACTATGCAGATGGGATGAAAGCTTGGAAATTAAGACTTACATGATCTCAGTCTCTTCACAGTGGGAGTTGGCAGGAATCAGCTCTACCTTGGCAATGTGGCGGCCAATGGGTTTGCTCTCTGTCTGGATGCAGCGGCAATGGAGCTCTACACCCAGGCTCCTCAAACTCATCCCTGTTAGGAGAAAGGAGTCACATGTGGTCACAAAGTGCAACAGTGTGTGTTGTTAACTCTTGATGCACTGAGGAAACGAGGACAGCAGAATGTGTGCAGTAGTGGCAGTTTAAATGCTCAATACTGTTACATTAAATTATTGAATGACAAAATAATTTTACCTTCACTGATGGCCAGGAAGGCCAGGAGCACCACGATAGAGGTGACAATGACTTTGCTGCTCTTCATGTTGACTTTTACAAATTCTGCAATAATTAAAACTAAAGGCTAAGAATGTCCTTCAGAAAGCTATCCGATTAAGCCTGAAGTACTGTACGAAAGTAAAGAAAGTGGGTTTTTTTCTCGTTCTTCTTTTGCTCAATTGCGTCTCTCCTCTACTTTTCCTTTTCTTGGTTCAGCTGCTGTGTTGCTCTGCTGTTTGAATCTAGCGCTGAAGAGGAGAGTTTCAGCTTTATAGCTCCTGGAAATGAGTCACTTCCCTAGATCAGGAGTGTTGCGCAAGCTGGGACTGTCAGCAGCCAAGTGGGAATTTACACTGTAAGGAATTTGACTGACATTTCTAATTTATCAAGAGGACTCATGGGTCAACATGTGTCACTGGAACAGGAGAGATTCAGTTGGGGAAAACGCAGCGACTACACATCTGCAATAAATCCGTTCATGTGACAGGAATGTTTGAGAACAATTATTTGTAAATTAGACATATTGCACAGCGCATGCCACCGTTGCTCACATCAAGCTCACAGATGAGCTGTTGATCAACTGCTAGCTGATTCAGAGATGACATGTAATAAAATTACCTCTAAGGTGCAATCTGTGACTGAACTGCTGATGTCATCTAAAATTGCATTTTCAAGAAGGGACATTTGTTGTACCAATTGTCCATTCATGAACTCCGTGTTGGCATGTCTCTCACATACTCAGCTACTTGTTATTTTGGTTCAGTTGCTGTTAACATCTGGACAGCTTCAACAGCTGTAAACAGCTAGAAAGCTGCTAAAACAATAATGCTATTAAAACACAATAACAAGAATTCAAACACTGCCTTGCACGCACTGCCATGTTCACTGCAGTTAAAGTTCAATATAGCAAGTAAGCTACCTACTGAAGATCATCAAGGTGACTCCTGACTAATGTGCACTGAACTGGTAAAGCATGTTATTGGTATTTAGAGAGAGACAGAGAGAAATACAGTGTCTCAAGTTTTGTTTTTCAACCACTTTCCAAACAATCTACCAATTTAAATAATACAGTCATAATAAATTAACAGTAAATATAATCACAAAGAGAAACATTTGAGTTTGTTATTGCAAGACAAATATGACAATAATTAAAAAGGTCATATATTGCTTGCTCATGCATGTGATATTCCTAAAGCAAGAGCAGACGATGTACCAACAACTTTGGGACTGAGCCTGATGCAACCTCAGCAAGCTCAAACACATCTGCCCGCAGTTACCACGTCAGAAGGAAGTATGGAGTCACTTTTGAATGGGGGGGGGCTAATCTTGCAGTTTTGACACACTGATTCTTCAATTGTTGCCCCATTTTAAGACATGATTCAAAGCTTTTGGACAGGAGACAAAATTATGTCTGTTATAACTGAATAAAAAAATTATTTTACTTTTCAGGAACTTTAGTTTTCAGCAACTAAAATGTATATTAGACCGCCTAGAAATTATGACCAGATGTTATCTAGAACCAGACAATGTCATTTTGTGGTCATCTTTGCTAGACCATACTGAAAAGGAAACCAGATGTGAATGTAACATTTGGTTAAAGACAGCATGTGATGAACTTCACTGGAAAGTTTATGATTTAAG